GGTGATGGAATATGGACAAGAGTTCATCGAGGCATAGATTGAGAGCCAATACAGTGGCATGGTTTACTGCTGGACTGGGGGTCAGGAATCCCGCTCAGCCATGAAGCTTGCTGGACAACCTTGGACCAGTCTCTGATTCTCAGCCTAGCTTATGTTAAAGTGTTTGTGTGATGATAAATGGAGAAGAGGTGCTGGATTCTGTAAGCTTGGGTTCCTTGCATGAAAAAGGTGGAGTATAAATATGTCAGATAAAGTGGGCATGCCCCGTGGTGACTTTGTTTTGTTTTGAAGTCATTGCTTGTATAAATTGTGCTCTTGAAAATCTTGTGACAATTGCAGATATTCATGTGTTTTTAAATTATATTTCTGTGATGTGTGGATTAGCAGATAGACAACAGAAGTTGGCTTTGGGAGCGCTTATAGTTGCAGTGAGACTCATAAAGACAGCTTGGAAAGATAAATACCTACTACTTATCATTCAGTGGTCTGGGTGCATTTTTGCTCTTGCGACATTTGATAGTATGGGAGGCACCAATCTCATTTCAGTGCTTATTTAGGTATGTGGACTGCTCATATTAATGAACCGACATAGAAGTCTTGATTTTTTTTCCCTTTTCAGTAATGATGCTCCAAATGGCTATTGTGCATGGACACTGTTGGGTTTTTTGCCATGTTATCTTTGCTGCTATTGTTTGCTTTTGCTTTTTTAAATTCCTGTTATAACTTGAAATTTAATCAAGTTAAACCAGAGAGGTTAGGGATGATTATTAATGTAGGTCCGATTGGTTTCAAAAGGACTAAATTATGATTCATTTCATTGGGGTACAACCCATTTCCCCATCAAGTAACTGCTTAGGTTACTTCTGCAGATGAGATGCCCATGAAGATGAAAGGGCATTTCAACAGCTTGTTCATGGACTCTCTTTTCTCAGCTCAGGAATGGAGTGAGTGTGATCCAGGGATGAGAGGACCTGTGATTTTTAAGCTCATTGCCATTCTTTGAAATTCACTTTGAAGTTTCCAGGCATGTTTTTGACCTGCAAATCAGCTTGTTCAAACTGAAAAGGTAAATGGGCAAAGCTATGCATTCCTGTACACATTTTTTCAAATGGTCAGCCCCACCTACAGACTAGAGCATGAAAATGGCCATCCATTATTTAAAAATGCAAATTTCAAAGTGTGCGTTTTCAAATAATAAATATTTTTAACCTAAAGGTTCAAATTCTGGCAATGGACAATTGCTGAGAGCCCCTTGATGCTGATCCTCCTCCTCTCTGTTCACTCCTGCTTTTCAACTCACCTTCTGGCCCAGGTGGCCTGAACAAGCAAGAGGCAAAGCTAAGGACCAGTTACCACATCCTCAATACATTAATATGGAAGCTGAGACTAAATAGGACAGTGGTGGAAGGAAAAGGAACACTCCTAAGCAAATCACTTCACAGAATCTTCCATGAAATTGTCAATAAGCTCTACATATCCTTCCATGTTGTTCATTTGGTTGGCAAGGTGAAGGTTGGCAGCAGCTTAGCTACATTTTCCAAAATGTTAGCCTTATAGAATCTGTCAGATCTTTGGCTTCATGACAAGGTACTTGAATTATAACCAGGGTTTGAGAATTATGTTTCATCCACTTCTTTCCCTCCAAAGGACAATTTCACTGACTTGATTATGATTTTAGAAGTGGCATTCAATTAACTCTTTTGGGTAGGTATTTATTCTGCTTATTTATCCTCTACTAGAAACAAACAGTGGTAGTGAATATTATGAATGAAATTTGCATAAACCTGTATCATGTGCTGGTTATTATTTCCTTCCCTTTTGAACCTCCCCAGAGTAGGAAGAAACTGAAGTCATATAATGTGTGCGCACGAATGCGCATGCATTCATGCAATCATCTTACAGAGTGTTTAACAGCAAGAAAGGCTGGTAATAGGCAAGGGACTCAAATGCAGGAGAATCTTTGACGTTAGCTGCAATATTGAAGATTTTGTTCACCTTGATGAAAGGACTACTCCTTTATAATAGAACTCACTGTTTGATTTATATATTAAAGGAAAGTTGTCAATTAGTCTGTGGGAGGATATAGAGAATAGTACGTGAATAAAAAATAGTAACAAAAATTAGACGGGCAAAGTTTGAAAGAAATCAAAAAGGATTGAAAGAAACTTCCAAAGTTGAAATACTTCTTTGTAACTTTGGAGAGTATGAAAGAGCTTTCAGCTTGTCAGAGGCATGTTTGATGGAACTGGGATTTCAAACATCTACCATGCTTTTATATTCTAGAACAATACTCTCTTTTTATTTTGCTAACAAAAAGTGCTTTTTTCTTTCATTTTGCCTACAACTAACATTAGTTCTTTGAATAGTTGAACTGACATGTGGAATTTTTACCAGTTGTGTCTACATATTGCAAAAATAAAACAATTCTCTTATTAGAAGATTGTGTTAGTTGTACATTAATTTAACAATATAGATTGATGCTGAGGTGATCACATAGTTGTGTTTGTAGAACAGAGAAGCTCTAAACTAAAAGGTCCACCATTTTTTGTCCCTCCCCAGAGAAACCAAGATTAGTTTTAACACAGTTCAAGCAGTGGCATTTATGTAATGATGGTCACGTATTGAACCGAATGTGGCTCAAATCGTTTGGAGGATACTGGAATTATCAGCTGACCTTGCTCGCTCACTCTCTGTCTCTCTTTTTTTCTCTCTCTCTTTATTCCTCAAGCCTGCATGTGAGTCCTGATTAAATGAACGATAAAGTCCATGATAGATCGATTTTCCACATTTTTAATTTAGGAGGTAAAAACATTCTATCAGTGCCGAGGTTGAAAATTATGGCTGAGATAATAGAGGTCTGACTCCAGTTGAAGTTAAAAAGGAAAAAGTTGTCCCTCAAATGTCAAGGCACCTCGTGGTCCAAGATGATTAAAACTAAACTGTTTGCAATATGAATCCCAAGGTGCTGCTATATCTCAGCTGCCATGACATTTAGCCAGTGACTTTTCATAGCTTGTTAATAATGTATAGCCACCCCAATATAAATTTGCAGTGATGGAACTGGCCTGTTAGAGTGGAGTAGTTAACAAGATTTATTCTGCACAGAAAATGCAGATTTGAAAGGTGGGGGGAGGGAGAGAAATCAGGACGGATGTCAAAAGAACTTTTCACTAGACTATCTTATTTCATGGAAACTTGGAAGCAACTTCTTTCATTTTGATTGATTATTCTCTCCAGACCACTAATTACTGAAGAGAGAAATGTCCCAGCTGTTTTCTTACTCATGGAATCATAGAGTAGTAGAGTTGAAAGGGGCCAGAGGACCATTGGGTCCAACTCCCTGCTCATTTCAGGACTCCCAGGTAACCATCCCTCTCAGATGGCTGTCTAGTTGCACCCTGAATGCGTCTGGTGTGGAAAAGCCCACAGCATCCCTAAGTTATGGGTTCCATTGTTGTACTGCTCTAACAGTCTGGAAATTCCTTCTGAGGTTCAGCCAGAACCTGGCTTCCTGTAGCTTGAGCTGGTTATTTCATGTCCTGTATGCTGTGATGATTGAGAACAGATCCTATCCTTCCTCTTTGTGACAGCCTTTTAAGTCCTTGTAGAGTGCTATCCTCTCTCCCCCTCCATTGTCTCCTTTTAAGGCTAGACATGCCCAGTTCTTTCAATTGCCCCTCATGGGGCTTTGTTTCCAGTCCATGTTGCCCTCCTCTGAAACCTTTCCAGCTTGTCTGCATCTTTCTTAAACTGTGGTACCCAGAACTGGGCACAGTGCTCCAGATGAGGCCTAACCAGGGGCCTAGTTAAGAGGAACTCGTACTTCATGGGATTTGGAAGTGATACTTCTGTTAATGCAGCCGAAAGTAGCATTTGCCTTTTCTACTCATGAGTAATGTCATGTATCTAGAGAATTATAAACCCTAAGCAAATCAATAACATGTGCCAATCCATTAAGCTCATTCATTCTGGTAGTGATAAAGAGTCCAGTAAACAGGCAAATATAACATTACAAGTCTTGGTAAGTCCAATTGCTGATAATGAGCCCTCTTGAATGCCTTTGTTGTAGGGAGACAATTTCTGAGATTGTAGCCTTCAACCTGGCAGTTATACAAATTATTCATAAACTGTGAAATGCCAGCAGATAGATGAAAAGAGATGAGAAAAGGGTACAGGTAAGAAATCGAGACAAAGAACAATGAGTTACTGCTGGGTATGGATTAGAACTGGAGAAGGGGAAAGGCAGCTTGGCATTTGGAGTGTTTCAGGCCCAATATAAGACTGAAGAGAGTTGATCAACCAAAAGACACTTAAATGTTGGTTGATGATCTCTGGATATATGAACAAATGAAACTGCCTTAAAGCTGCCACGGTGCTTCAGTTGTTTTCATTTTCAGACTAATTTTGGGAGCAAAGGATTGTTATGGGCATTCAAAAGCTTGTTTTTAGGCTTGTGTAGTCAATGGAGATGCAAACATGTTAACAGATGCACAGGCATGCTCAAGAATTTAGGAAATTAACAGACTGATTCCTCTACCCAGATCACTCTCACTGAGTCCATGTATGACAGGACAGATACTCATGGGTCATTTGACCCCCTATGCCAGCTGCCTTTTGGAGTGTGCAATTCCCAACTGAAGGAATGTGTAGTCTGAACCCATCCTGAACTTGTGGGGGTTCTGTGGAGGTTGTTTAACTCCCAGATAACCCCCTATGGCTGGGTTCACATGGCAAAACAACCATCACTTGGCCCTATTCAAATCACATCTGTTTGATTCAGCATCGCACATCAAACTGGAGGTGCTCTAGCTGAAACCACCATGGTGAGTCCCTTGTCTTAAGGCTTCGCATGCTGAGAGCAACCTGGCTCACCGGGCAATTGGGGCCATGTGAGTCCTTTAAAAGAGTAAAAGATGGGATATAAATCAAATAAATAAACAAACACAATGCCATGCTACGCTATGCTATGCTAAATCACTGTGACATAATTTTATCTTTAGGTGCCTGGATGGATTTTCTGGTCATTTTTGTGAAACAGATATAAATGAGTGCAGCTCTTCACCTTGCCTACATGGTTCAGTCTGTGAAGATCTTATTAATGGATATTTCTGCAGATGTCAGCAAGGTAACTAGTGGGAAAATGTTTTGAATTAAAGCATTTTACTGCTATGACTACCGATAACGTTCTTTTTTTCTTTACTAAGATAATATGGTACATCCCGGAAACTAAGCTATGGCGTTAATGTTTTTGGGAAACAGAAAGCACTTTATCAGGAATTGTGTTTTTCTTGCTTCCAGCATGATTCTTAGTTGCAAACTGATATAACCTCTTGATCAAAAAGTATCAAAGCAGAAAAGCATTTTCCAACAGAAGCAACCGAATGCACTTAAAAGATTGTCTGGAGTCCAAAGACAGAATAAGTGATATTAATTAGCATTTTTAAGTGGTTTGTTCTGCCATGTGTTAGACAGAATGATTAAAACATTACTGTAAAATAAATGTGTGAAACAAACAGGTTGCATTTTTTATTAGGATGATTCTTGGAATTGGGTTATTAACAAGACACTTTGAATAGGGTCAGCTGAGAGAGCTACCTGGCCAGGGGCTCATTGTCCTAGTCTTGGAGTAAAAACAGTGGCTGTGTGCAGACATGCATTATGCTTAGAGTTTACCTCCTGAAATCAATGGGACTTAAGTCAGTCATGGTAAGTTTGTCCCATTGATTTCCATGGCTGTACTCTAAGCATGACTCAGTCTGGATCCAAATGACTGTCTTTCCAAAACTGACTGTCTTTCCAAAACTGAATACAAATTAATCAAGACGTGCTTAGAGATGAACGTCTTTAGTTGGGTCTTCCCCCCATGTGATTTACTTCCTCCTGTCTTCTTAGCTTGGAAGGTATCCAAATAACCACTCTATTCATTCTGCCCATCCAAAAGACTTCTGGGCTTCTTTGACAGAACACCCCTCCGTGCCATATGGCTGCTTCTGAAATGGAGGCTTCTCACAATAGGACAATCTTCCCCAACTTGGTGCCCTCCAGCCCAGACAGATGGCCAATGCTGAGCAATGCTGGGAGTTAAAGCCCAAAACATCTGGAGCATACCAGGCTGGGGAAGGTTTGAAAGAGAATATTATGATACAGCATGAGGAAAAGAGTCAAAAGACCCAGTAGGCATACTCAAGCCCTTTGTTGTGCCAAAAGTAGCTTTTTGGATCATTGCCCTCGGGTAGCTGTAAGCCTCTGATGTGCGAGATTCAACCCCAGAGTTCTTAACATTTAAATTTTTATCTTAAAGCAGCCACTGGGAGCTTACAGCAGCTTCAGAAGATTATTTAGACTGGAAAAATGGCATGCATGGAAGTGCCACTGTTCTGATAAAATTGGTTGTGGGAGGGGGCACTTTGTCAATTACAATTGAAAACACAGATGAATTCAATCATGGATATCCCTCTTCTGGTCTAGCTTCCCCTCCCTCCCTCCTTCCTTCAGTCCTTAAGAAATAATGGGTATGATCCAGTTAATATTCAACATTGGGCCCCAGTGACTTTAGCAGATAACTAATTCTCTCCTACTGAGATCAGTGAGACAAATGTGCTAACTTTAGTTGAGCCATGTCAACAATATATATGAAAGCATGGCATAAAGACATTTTCTGAGAAGCTTGCCGTGCTGTCATTCATAACTTCTTTTGGCAACAACCTAGCTTTAGACTTCTGGTTAACACTAATTTTGTAGAATTGTAAACACACCTAGCTTTTTTAATGAAATAGTATTTCACTTCTAGAAATGCTGGAATATAGAGTTTTGATTCTTCCCGGTTTAACTTGGAAGAATTACAACTCGTGCTCCCATAGTTTGTGACAGCACTTGGGGGGCCTCCAACCATGCTCCAGAGCCTGCACTGTGGTTCCATAAAATCAGTGAGAACTTAAAGATGACTCACCAGCTACACACCAAGGCTTTTACTATGCACTTACTCTTCATTACTCATAGGAATTACAGGTGATTTAGATAGCACCATTTCTCTCCAGTTTTTCTCTTGTGTTTTAAAGGCACTTGGAGAATGGGGAGGTGCTGGGGCAGGGACAATCCAATCTCTCTCTTCCTTTCCTTTCCTTTCCTTTCCTTTCCTTTCCTTTGCTTTGCTTTGCTTTGCTTTGCTTTGCTTTGCTTTGCTTTGCTTTCCGTTCCGTTCCGTTCCTTTCTTCTTTCTTTCTTTCTTTCTTTCTTTCTTTCTTTCTTTCTTTCTTTCTTTTTTTTTTTTGGCATTGACCAACCCGTGCTATTCTGCTGTACCATCGTGCCTTCTAGAGGTTCTGCAATGGAATGTAGGGAAGGCAGAAAAGGACAATAACTTCAAATAGCGACCCAGCCAAAATTCTCAAGTGACTTTGGAAGCAGATGCATTGGATTGAACAGCCTCATCTAGAAAAGCTCTAATTTAGGAGCAGTGGGAGACTGCAAAGCCTGCCCCATGGCTGGGCTGAATCCAGGAAAGGGGATTGAGTAGCCTCTCCTTTTTTGCATTCATCCATCTTTCAGTAGAATTGGCACCCCCACACAGACACACACACACACACACGCACCACAGCTCTTCACTTACAAAGCAATACTGGGGCAAAGGTTGCGAACATGGGCATTTCATATGCTGTTTAGCCCTTATTGACTATCTGGAGGTGCTCACCGTATTCAAGTCTTGTGTTATTTTTGTTCCTATTCCTATTCTCCCTATACATTCGCCATGACTGTTAATGTGACTTTACAAGACCAGTGGGGACTGATGAACGCCTCTTTCCTTTCATCCTGACAGGCTGGGAAGGTTTCAACTGTGAAGAGGATATCAACGAATGTGCATCGAACCCCTGCCTGCATGGGATTTGCATGCAGAATCAACCAGGCTTAGGCTACACCTGTTATTGTGAGCCAGGATTTGTGGTATGCAATTAAATTCCCAACAGATCTATTGTCATGCCTTGCTTTTCCCTTCATCATAGAAAATGTTTTTGATGCCTTTACAACATTTCAACATGCTAGGTGTATTCCCTGTCCTATCGGCAGTCTTGTTTGCATTCTCCTTAACACCCAGGAGCAGGGTCATTGCGTGCTGTCTCTGAATTCAGTTTGCTGCTGCCCTTGCAAGAGAGCTGGGTCCATCCTCAGCCCGAGTGTGGGAGCAGACAGCTGCTGCTACGCTGCTGTGCCGAGCAGCTGTGCTCCAACACGGTGCTGGCAGAGGATGGAGCGAGCGCACGGAGATGGCTGACCTGTGACCAGCCCTACCGAACCTGATACTCTTATCTAGAGGCCGAGAGACTCTGGAAGCTTATGGCAGCCCTTGTGCAGCTATTTATAGGCCAGGTCCGTCACAAAGAGTGAGAAACATACTGATTGAACACATTCACAGTCTGTTACACATAAGACATCTTTCGGAGAGGCTACTTTTCTAAATGTGATTATCTTATTTATTTATAGTGGAACATTCCACTCTGTACACCCTCGTCTGCTGTCTGAACTGGTGCAGTCCAGGGACAAGTACACTGATGAACGTACTGACTACCCGTTACGTTTAAGAGGATGGCTGCTAAATATAATGTCCACCTTATAGGAGAATATTTCAGCTTGCTCCTGCCTGCCGACTGAATATAAATTTGCTTGTTGTTGCTGTTGTTGCTGCATTTAAATCTCATTGTTTAAATCCCACCGTTTTCCCTCTTGTAAGAAATCAGAAGCCACTTACATAACTCCTTTTTTTGCTCGGAGCAACAGCCCTGTGAGGTAGGTTAGGGTGAGAGTCTGTCTGGCCCAAAGCCATCCAGGGAACTTCATGGCCAAGTGAGGATGCCAAACTGGATTTCTCAGGTCCCCAGCCCAACACTCTCACCGCCACACCACACTGGCTCATTCTGCACTTCCAAATATCAAACTCTACCTGGAATTGACTCAGTGACTATTTTATTATGTTATTCTTGTTCCTAACCATTGACTTGGAAGTATTTTACTTTCCATCATTTGATTTTAAATCACAGTGTTATAATAATAATAATAATAATAATAATAATAATAATAATAAGATGATGATGATGATGATGATGATGATGATGATGATGATGATGTCAAGATACAATTTGCCACTATGTGTATGGAATGCTGGACTAGATGACCTTTGAACATAAGAAAAGCCATGCTGGCTCAGACGAAAGGTCCATCTCGTCCAGCACTCTGTGTACACGGTGGCAAGCCAGCTGCCCACAGGGCCCCTCCAGCAGGGCGGCTGCAAGGCCTCCCCCTGCCCAGCTCCTCGGCCACTGGGCCAGGCAGGCAGGCCTCCCTGGAGAAGGAGGCAGCACTCAGCCAGCAGGGCCAGCAGCCACTGAGAGCCTCCTCCCTCATGAATCCCTCCAATCCCTTTTCAAAGCCATCCAGACTGGTGGCCATCACCACTTCCCTTGGCGGTGAATTCCATAATTTAACTATATGCTATATGAAGAAGTACATTCTTTTGGCCTGATCCAGCCTGGCTTTTTCTTATGGTCTCCCTATTCTGCTCTGTGGCATCACATCCAGAGTTACTACAGGCCATGCGCTAAACCCAGAAAGTCTCATCTCCAACCCCAGTCAGATAGAGGTGCGGCAGCCCTAAGACTCCTGGATGTTTGCCTCGCTGCGGCAACTATCTGTGTGCACGGAATGGGCTGCATCAATAGAAATCCCTTCCATTCTCCTGCCTGTTTCCATCTTATCCTGTTGGCTTACAAAGACTGCTCTTGCCAGGCTGGGTTTTCTGACTAATAATGTTCAACAAATTTCCTACTGAATAGATGTACATTATTCTTTTGTTCAACTTCACAATAAATTTCTAAGATATGCAAGTGCTATTCAGATGAAACCAATTCTTTTTCTACTGTTCTAGGGCAAACTGAAAAAGGCGGGGTGAGGAGCATGTTATTTGAAAAAGCACTGCTAAGATCAAAGTGATTTATGTATGTGGTTTATAGTATCAGTGCCCAATACTATAATTATATAATACATCAATTTGAAAAACTGAAAGAGCTGAAAAACTACATGAGTTCATCTCTACAGTCTCCAAACTTGGCCTTTTTTTAATAGAATAAGACATCTTTGAGAAACAAAAAGCAAAAAGAAAGAGGCCTGCTTCTTTTACCATATAGTTCCAGTTGAAAGCTTCAGAGAGCTAATTAGCAAGGTCAGGCTGTTCCAGCAATATTGGCAAAAGTTCTTGTGGCACTTCTAAACATATCACATTTCTGTTGCTGTAAGATTTTCCAGATAGCATTCTGGAGAGCTTGGTTTGGCCCGCTTTTTGAAGCAAACCAGGCTACTGCTAGTGTGGACTCGTCTACAGGTTTGTCATCCTTCAAATTTCACACTTCACAGCTCCGAAATTGCCTTAAAATCTATGTGTTAAATAAACATAATGCAGAAAAATTCATAGAAGAGATATATTCATAAAAGCATATCTTAGGCAATGTTGCATTCAAAAATAAACCTCTTCCATGCATTAAAAAATCATAGGATAATGCAGATTTGGAAGGAACAGATTTATGACCAAGTACATGTAAAAGTGGCACAAGACAAATACAGATCTTTGTGAATACTCCTAGTTGCAGAGAAGAGTATGCCTCATCAGATGGGTGATGAATGCATGTATATGTGTATGACAGAGAGAAGATAATAATGCATTTTTTACAAAGTTAAACCTGAATGGCAAGCACTGCAGAAATTAGCTTGCCTGTTCTGGCCACCCACTTAACGGATGTGTGAGTTGGCTGTGGGTGCCCACGGGCCGTTATGTCCCCATAATTGTCTGCTGCACTCATGTTCCCTGCCACCTGCCTCCCTACTGTACACATGGAAAGCAACTCTGCATTCATACTGCGCTGTGCACACAGATCTTCATACAAGGAGGGACCTGGTCCCTTCATGGAAGAACTCTGTGTGTGTACAGCAGTGCACACGTAGAACCCTTTACCCTGCTGACTGGGCATGGAGACGACAAGGGAACGTTTCCATTGCAGGAACTGACAGTGCGTATGTGGTTGCGTGAGGTGTCAGTGGCAAAAGGGCTAGGCTACATAGCTCTGCATTGTAAGTGGTCCCACAAAGTTTGTAGGGAACAGGATAGAAAGGCTTTTAATAAAATATAAATGAATGAATGAATGAATGAATGAATGACCCCTTCCCCCAAATCCTCCTTCAATGCATCGGGGAGGTATGAATTTATCATGCATTACATGGGAAAAAATAATATGGAATCCAGTCATATGAATACAAGGGCCAATGAAGATGATTATGGCCCATGCTCAGGTAGCAGCTCCATCAATTAATTAATTAATTAGTTCATTTTGTCCCATTTCTGCCTCAGTTTGTGAACTTTCTTCTAAAGTAAGCCTGCAGATTCTCATGCATTTTCCTCTAAAATACATTTTTGTACATGCTTTGACCAGAGCCCTGTATTGCAAAATTTGGAGAAGTGCAAAAATCCAAGGATAATCACATTCCAGTTTATGTATTCATTTCAGAAGTGTGAACTAGGACAGTTTGCATTAAAGGCAAGTTGAACAGATTTCACCTTTATAACTAGGTGAAACTGGTATGGATTAGATTTTTGGGCAATTGTTATTATTCAGACTTCCAAAAAGTGTATGTATAAAAAGTGATGAAACAAACCGGGGTCCTTAGCATTGCTACTTGGCCATGACACATGACTGTGCAGTCCCAAGAGCTACCGGTAGGTAATTTTAATGTTGCAACCTGTTTGTAAGGTAAGGAAGTAGTCGCAGCAGGGTACACAATTAGGTTAAAGTCTAGAAACAACTATGTACTTGAAGCTAATGCAACTCTAGCATGAGAACAAATACTTTGCTCACGTCCATTTATAGTCATTTCAGTTAATCTCAACGAGCGTATTGTTACACCAAAAAGCAGATGACTGGGGGACAAACAATGCCGGAGTGTCACATGCTGAAGGTTTATGGGATGGAATCTGTAGGCAGTGTTAAAAGTCACTCTTTGAGCTGACTGGAAGTCAAAATGCCATAATGAAATTACAATTTAAAAGCCTAGTTCTATGCCATGAAATCTGCAAAGGCAAAATGCTCAGTAGGATTCGATTAATTTTGGAAAGTGCAGTCCGCCCAGTCTAAATAGACAGCATTTGAAAAATGAAAAGAAAGCAATAAATTTGAACCATTTAATGTAGCTATGAAAATGCAAATGGCCTTCAAAGTGACTTTTTAAAAACATCTTTTTTAGGGCCGAAGCTGTGAGCTTAATTACAACGATTGCTTGATACAGACCTGCCCTGCTGGGTTCTTGTGTGTGGACGGAATAAACGATATCACCTGTTTACCTGTAGTCCCCCAGAGGGACCAAATCATCCCCGAAACAGGAGTGTCTCCTACGGAGGCTTTAGAGAGAGGCCTCCCAGAAGTCCGCGCAAGCCTCCAGTCCTCAGACACAAATATTTCTCAGACTTCCACAGGTAAGACAGAAGAGTGCCATGAAGCAAAGTCTGATGGATTCTGTGTGAAAGCCTTTCCTTTCAATGTATGTGGTTATTGTTGTTTTCCTTGATAAGGATTAATGTCCTCTGTTTTCTACGTGGATTTCTTCCATTCAATTTTTCCTGGGCTCTCAATTCCACTTTCCTTAACTAAGCACCTATCTTGCCTTTGTGACTTTGCAGGCCATTCCTTGTTTATTAGACCTCCTGATTGACCTGAGTGTTTTTGCACTCAGGGACAATATTGTCTCTCTACTCTTTGCCTACACTGTGTAGAAAATAGCATTGCTCCATAACTTATGGTATTTCTCACTGGGGCTTGGCTGCTATGTGAAATTTCATACACCTCACAATATATCTCTGCCCCCACTGTTAGTACAATCCTCTTGCGACTGGAAGGCAGATAATTGTGCTTTGCTCATGAGAACCTTGGCTTTCTTTTCCCAGCTCATATCTTTTCTTGTGTGCATCTTTCCCCGTCCTCTTGAAGTTTTTATACATAAGAATGCCTGTAACAAGCTCCTCAAGGTTTTGCACATTTCTACTTTTCTTCCTCATTTCTTTGTGTCTCAGATTCAGCAAGACAAACAATCTTCTAGCTTGGAAGCCATTAAATATGGAATAGCATCATAAACGCAGTGGCCTATTTTGTGTGTCACGTGACTGAAGCCATTCATTTAACTACAGCTAATCTAAATACATTGCACTGTCAACTGAACCTAAAAATGGGGGTTTTATTTTCTCTTTTGCCCAAACTTTTTGGGTCTTTTTCATTTTTTAAGCTAAGTAATATTTCTTCTTCATATAGATGAGCAAAGTGAATCTGACACAATTAGTAAATATAATTATCTTTGTAACTTTTCCAGCTTATCATGTCAGCTCTTCAAGTTCTCAATGGAATAGGCTTGTAATTTATTCTTTTTTATATTGATTCTCAGGAACAATTTGATTTAGCAAATTTAATACGTCTCTTCCAAGCAATGCTATTTGTTCTGGCTACAGCCCTCACAATGTGAATAATGTGAGGGTTTGCATTTAGCCAGCTCTTGAGGTCACTAAAATCTTTCTTACACTTTTATTAAGAATATGATTTACGGAGGTATATTTGTCTGCTGTGGGATGCCTGGGTGAGAATTAATGGTTTTCAGGTAGCAATGCAATTTGCTGCCGATCCAGCCTAGGGCCAAAGTTGTTCATTTTTTATTTTCTTCTAACTTTTCCCCCTTACTTTTTATCCTCTAAAGGTCTGCAAAAGAAAGACTTTCTCAGCCATGGGATGCTCGCAACCTCTAGCATGGCTAAATTAATGTCCAGCATATCATTTGAAGGCTTTGAACTGGGATCATTAAGTGCCGCTAGTGCGTCTTCAGCCGCATTCTCACTGGCTTCCTCAGCGGCGTTCTCACTTCACAGTTGTTGGGGTTTGCAGGCCTATTCTCAACAAGTAAGAAGTTTGACAGAACAGCTGTGCCATGGGGGAAATGATTGATAGTTCAGGAGATTTAACACTAGGCTTGCTCTCACAAGATGAGGATGATATGACCTCATTTATCACAGACTCCTTAATGACAGTTCCTGTTCCCTCTGTGCAAAGTTTGTCAGTAGGGAACCATACGGCTCTTGCTTTATCTGCCACAGACATGAGCTTAGTAATTAGTCGGATACCAGAGATCGAGATTGAATTAAATAGCCACCCATTACTTCCTCCCAGATTCTAGCCTATGACTCCTGCAATCACTTGCCCAATTCTTTTGAACTCTCCTCAAGAGACTACTAAAGAGCATTCAGCAGTTTCCTTAATACCAAAAGGCAAGGACTGAATTTTACCAAAGACCTCAGGGATTTTTGTTTTGTCCTCAGATGCTACAGGTTTTGAAAAAGAAGGATGCTTTAGCTCAGCAGTTATTGTGGAATCCAAAAGGTGAACATACTGTCCCAATGAATATCCAGATATTATTGTTTCATCCTTCATCCAGGAGCAAAAAGAGTTCAAACTGGAACCTGCTGGTCATTTAAGCAAAAGAAACCAAATATGTGGAAGGGGTTCCACAGTTGACACAGAAGTCTCAAATGAATTTGAGCTGAGTTTGCATAGTAAAAATGTACTTTCTGAAGCATTCTGGAAGAACTCGATGTTATCAAGCTGCTGGCACACATTAAGGAAATCTAGTGCTCATAGTTCTGGGCATCCAGTTTGTGAAAAGACACCACTGGTGACAACTGCAGAAGAGCCTTCCTTACACCCTACTGAAAGAAGCTGAGATGAGTTTGTCTCACAAGACTATGTTCTAACTAGAGCATTACCAGGACTAAGTACCGAGTTCTCATGTGTCCATTCAGAATGTGTAGCAACTACCCTTTTACAAACCATCCATTTAGAACCATCATGTTCAACTCTCACAGCCTCTCAAGGAGCAGATGTGTATTTGACAAGGAAATTACCCAACATGCAACAGCTGGCTGCCATGCCTTTTCCGCAACCACTGGGCTACTCAGCTCATGCTCCAATTAAAGAGGTACCTCAGTTAATGACTCAAGAGGAGAGGGGATTTCATCCATGTGATGCTCTTCCAGAAGAAAATGACAGCCATGTTACATATTCGTACACAGCCACATCATACAAACAGATCAGTTCAGAGAGGAGTCTTGATTTGCATCTTGGGCATGTAGGCATTTCCTAGACAGACGCAGTGGTCGATTTTCTTGGCAGGCATTCATTATCAGCATTTTCTACTGATATGCTATCCCGCTCGGTATTATCTGACCAGCCTCTCCCTATACAAACTGACTTCACTAAGATTTCAGTGCCGCAGTACTCATTATGTCCTGACAAAAACCAGACTTCCAGTTCTGTCTTAACAGTGATAGACAGTACATCACAACAGCCTTTGAGCTGGACTCCTGGTTCTCATGGAGAACATGCAACAAGTTTAAACATCCCTTTATCACAATCACACGTTAGGTCAGCAGTGGCTTCTACTCTTACCCCTCACCAACTGACCTTGTTTGGTGAGTTTTTGGCTTTCATTTAGTAGTTGCTTTGATGCTTGAAGGTTTACGGATACCTGTTTGTTTGTTTGTTTGTTTGTTTGTTTGTTTATCTCACTGATTTATATGGTAGTGCACATCCTATACAGACTTGGAAGATCATATTTGACAAAATAGGATTCAGAGTAATCAGGGGAATTGTTACAAATTGTTCTTAAGGCCGGGTGAGAAATTTGCGTGCGCGCGCGCGCGTGTGTGTGTGTGTAAGATAGAAAGACTAACAGAGTAATTTCAATATATATTTAGTGACACACATACACACTCCTATTTTTCACTTGCTATTATTTTATTCCCCACCACCCCTTTTTTTTCAAACGAACCAGAAAGAGGATAAGGCCTTAACCCCATTATTTTTTCTTTTTGAAAAACAAATCTTATAGATGCTTTTCAGCCTCTTTTCTTGCCCTAGCAACATATTTAAAATATTCTGGGCAGACATTTATAAGGCATGTCTTAGCTTCATTGACACCTCTGCTTTCTACTACCAGTTTATCACATGGTGTTTTGTGTCAGCCACTTTCAGTAAAGCTGCTATCACACTCTTTAGTACTTTAAGCCCTGCCTTTATCAATGCTGCCAGATATGTCATTATTATTCATCTCCTGGTATTTAATTTCATTTCCAGGAGCCATGGTCATGTGCTTATTTTAAAGCAAAGCTTGTTAATCCTGTTTCATTGGCTTTTAATTCTGTTAGTTGCCGAAATCGGTCGGCAGCATTCAGCCACACAAGTGAGGAGCGCTCTCCAAGCTTGGCCGGGGTTTCTGGATTTCATCTTTGTAAGTTAGGTCATGACCTAAATGCAGAAGGCTTACAGGCCTCACTTGGAGCAGTCAGCCTCCTCAGTGATATAGTGAAGAGCTGCCATAGCGAAGAATAAAGCACTAGCCTAACATGCTTTTACTTTGATTTAGGGCTGAACCACTGCTCCCGAAAGCCTTTTTGATGGGCTGTAACTTTGAAGCACATATTCACACTTCTGCTGCTTCATCCTAAGTCTCTCCCAGTTTTACAAAGGCTCTAGCTGATTTCCTTCTTACTCATGGTCATAACAACAGCAACCTGTTAAATGGCCTACTAATTTAGAATGCCACCAACCCTTCTTTATGGTGCAGGGAGGAAAACACCACTGACTTAGTTGAATTGTATCTTCCCAGCACTCAGGCATGGCTACATTCACAAGTCCTGGTCACAGGGATCTTAAAGAAGGCTACAATATCCACTTTGCTGAAGGACTGATTAAACTTTTCTTAATCATTTCAAAGGTCAATTGGATAGATCATGATGCGGCCTTTATAAACTAATGCACATTTTTAAGGTTACGGATGGCTACACATGTTGCACTTGGATTACATGTACCGTTATTGTTGATTAAGCTTGTCTGAGGTTTAGAACTGGCCAAAGACCAGCTGAGACCCTGTTGGACGCAGCAGAAGTGAAGAGGGGAAGGCTGATTGTCAGGACAGCACTTAAAGTTTTTGTGGTTCCATGGAAAACCTTGCAGGCATTGGTGAGCCCCAGGCAGTGTTCCAATAGTTTGTGGGAAAACAGGGCAGCTAGTCCAGCAGTGGAGCTGGCATGGTTAATTGGCTCAGATTGACCACAGCGAGCAAAGAAAGTGTTGATAAGACAAAGCCGAATCTCCACCACCCTTCCTAGTGAGCCAGCAAGGCTTGGAAAGTAGTGGCAGCTTCTGAGCCATAAAGTCTTCATTATCTCTGCCTCTGACCCCACAAGTGGTCTGTTTGGATCCTGAGAACATCGTGGGGCAAGGAGGCAGATATATTTTATTTACTCATGCATTTATTTGAGATGATTTGAACCCCACCTTTCTGCCAAGAAAATGACACTAAAGGTGACTTACAACCATAAGAACTTTAAAGATCATATAAAGATCATATAAGATCATATAAAAACTCAGCTAAAGCAAT